AACCAGCTTTAGGAAGAGCAGCCACCACATCTTCATGACAGGCAACACTGCTTCTGCTTCCTCCTCACACCGACAGACCTGTGGCACCACCGGCTCCCAGTGCCAAGCCCTTCACCCCTGAGACATCCCCCAGGGCCTGGAGACCCACTGCTGAGGGCAGCAATCACATTCTAGGTGAGCACACCCGTTTCCATGCCAGTTGGATGCAGAGGGAATGAACAAGGGAACCCAAACAGCCAATGTCGACCCCATTTAGCCGCTCGCATGTTTGGTTCACGCAACAACCCCCTGTGAGGTGTGTCAGTGGTCCTGAGTCTTTCCTGTCTCCAGGAAACCTCCTGGCTTTCTGGACAGGACAGTCTGTGACTGAGAAGAGGCACATTCCTCCACCTGGTGAACATGGCAGCCAGGGTGAAGGCATCACCAGAAGGACTGTCCCTGCCTGCCCCCACCTGCCCCAGCTTCATCTTGCTGGAGCAAAAACACCTTTCTAAAGCCAAGCCTGGAGGTGTATCCTCTTTCCCCCAACTCACTGCATTCTCCAGAAACCCAAATTCTCACGTTGCCTTGTTGGCCTTAGGCCTCCCATCCATCGTCCTCACCTCAGTGTGCCTCCTCTGCCCCCTTGCTCTCCACCCAGTCCTCCTCCAGCAGCTCTGCCCCATCCCTTTCCTCCAGTCAGAGCTCTTAGCACTTTTCCCACCAGTATCCTCATATGATTTCTCACTGTATCCCACCAGCTCTCTTCAAGGATCTCTCCCCCCATTTTCCCCCTCCCAGGAAGAGCCCAGCTGGAGGAGCTCCCCTGTCCTTACTGTCTCTGTACAGCTGCAGCTCGCTGGAACTGGCCCACTCAGACTGCTCGCCTCCGGCCTCCACTCTCACCCGTGCCCAGTAGATATCGTGGATCCTGTCAAAATACAACCCACACTCCCAGGAGCCAGTGCTGTTCCCCCTGCAGGCATCTGCCTTGATCCAGCTCGAGGTCCTGCCCAGGGAGAAAGCACAGGGATTGCTCCTTTTTGGCACCTCCCCAGCCCAAAGGGAGGGCTGCCCAGCCACCGCCACCCCACCAAGGCAGAAAGTGTAGGAAAGCCCAGGTGTCGGCCAGCAATGTCCTGGGATGTGTGAGGAGGGGTGTCACCAGCAAGTCGAGTCCCTCTTGGGGACAGATGGCAGCTGGCACTACACCCTGACCTGTGCTCTCTGCGATGAGGGAACACATGTGGGCAGGCAGAGCCCACCGAGGGGTTGAGGCTCTGTGCTATGAGGGAGGTCAAGTGAGCAGTGACTGCTGAGTCTCAGAGAAAGGTGGCTTTGGGTGAGGGGTCTTATCAACACAATGGAGAAAAGAAGATGAAGCCTCCCTCTCAGCAGTGCCCAGAAAAAGGACGAGAGGCAGCAGCCACAGGTTGAAATACAGGAAATCCCATTCCGCATAATGGAAAAAAACCCCAAACCCAAAACCCCAGCACAAAAGCCACCCCTTTGTTTTTTACTGGGAGAGTGACCAGGAGAGGGACCAAGCTGCCCAGAGAGGTGTGGAGGCTCCATCCCTGCAGGTGTTCAAAACCCAACAGGACACAGTCCCGAGCTGACCTTGCCTGTGCAGGGGTGGGACGAGCCGGTCCCTGTCAGCTCCACTGCTCTGTTCCTCTGTGTTATTTACTGCCAGACAGCAACCCTCTGGCTACCGAGGGTCCCCAACAACCTCTGTCAGGGTTTTGGGGGACCAGACCCTTTGCCCCCTCCTCCCCACCTACCGCTTCCTCCACTCCACCTGGTAGGTGGCGTGGCTGGGCGAGCTGGGGTCCGGCTCCCACCGCAGCCGGACGTGGAAGTTCTGTGCCTCCAGCCTCACGTGCCGTGGTGGCAGTAGCATCCCTGGGAGGGGGCAGAGGCGTGTCAGGCAGCGCTGCTCTGCTCTGCAGGGTCCCCTCCTTGGCCAGTCACTGCGTGGTTATGCTGCACAGGTTCCCCTCTCCCGCAATCCCCAGCTTCAGCTCGGCAACAGCGGGCAAACACTGACTCTGCAGCAGGATGCTCAGCACCTGCATCCCCCCGATGCCTCACCACCAAGAGAACCCTCTCCGTGCTCCTGCCAAAGGCACCGACACCCTGACACAGCTGCTGCTGACCCTGGGGTTTTCTTTCCTCTCACAACTTGAAAACCACTCGGTCCCCTCCTCTCCACAGGTACCTTGGTACCTTCTGTAGGTCTAAGAGGTGTCCCTGTGCCTCCCCTGCCCTGCACCCAGGGTCCCCCCAGCCTGCAGCGGTAGCTCCAGCACCAGCTTACCCCAGAGGAGGGAGCAGCTGGCCAGAGATAGCAGCAGGTGAAGGGCAGGGCTCATCCCACCACGGCCCGTCCATCTGTCCCCATGCTACGCCACCGCACCGGGGGCTGTGGCGAGGGATGGGTGTGCTGGAGCTGTTCTGCCACCTGCAGACATGATGGGCAGCTGGGACCTGTGATTAGAGAAAGGGTATTTTTTTCCAAAAGCTTCAGCCAGCAACACCAGCCACAGGCAAGCCTTGCCCGTGGAGTCTGCATGGCCAGTGTGGCACAGAGGTGCCTGTTACGGAGAGGCTGGGGACCCCCTGCCACCCCCAGGGGTGGGTGAAGCAGCAGCAGGGCAGGTGCCCTGGGGGCTCTGGTGGCAAGTGGACCTGCAGGGACAGTGGGCAGCTGCCACACTCTGCCATGGCACTGTGCACGTGCTGCAGGGACCTTCTGCTGCACCCACCTCTGGTTTGGTGAGAAGCCACACTGCCGATGTCACGGGGATGTGGGTCTGTGAAACCTCCTCGCCCGATGCTCACACCACTGTGGAGGTGACTCAGCCCAGCTCTGGGCATGACTCACACTGGCACAACCGGTGACACCACTGCCAGGACACCCCCAGCCCTCCCACAGCCTCCCTGGTACGGGGAGCGCCCCGTGTGTGCTGGCACCCAACCAGGAGCAATGGGACACCCCGAGGGACCCCCTGGGGCTGTTAGCAGAGACCTCAGTCCTGTGAACCACAGCAGAGGCTTGTCCCACTGGGCACCTCTGTCTGACCCCTGGCCAGCCCCTCCTTACAATGGCCTTGCCCCATGATTCAGCTACCAGGAATCTTTCCCTATTGTTGTTGGCCTCCTAGGTAACCTTCCTCTCCTGGGAAGGAGGGCTTTGAGGTCACCAGTGCCAACCTACTGGTTGTGGGGACACATCTGCCTGTGAAGGGGGGGAGCCCGGGGCCACCTCCAGAGGCAGAGGGATGGGAGGATCCCCTGGCCGGACAGGACACCCGCAGGGCTGGCTCACTGCAGCTGCTGCCTCTCGCTCTTCCCATTTCGCACTGACCCTGCGCTAATGTTACGAGCGCAGCCACCTCGGCAGGCAGGTACAAAATGCTTTCCCTGTCTTCTGTCCCTTGCAGCGTTCAGAGCTCGAAACAAGGAGGAGCAGCCAACAAGCAGGGACGTGCAGTTACAAACCGCAGGCGAGGGCCCAGAGGCAAGACCTCTGAAACTCCAGAGCCGAAGCATAGGTAGTGGGTTTAGGGATTGCCCCCACCCCGACGCCAGCAAGAGCCCTCCCAGCTTAGCAGCAGACCCCAGCGAAGGCAGGACCGTTTCTGCCTGGAGGGAGAAGTCCCCGAGACTGTTCCTGGAACTTGTGGGGGCACAGAACTGGGGAACTGACGGACCGGCTGCCTGCAGAGGCAGGGACAGGGCTTCTCCAGCTGCTGGAGGCAGCACAGGGGAGACAGTGCCTCCACAGCAGTGAGGGTGGCCACGGGCCAGTCCCTGCCAGCCCCACACTGACCCCAGCACACCTGCTCCCCTTCTGCCTTGGCCAGAGGGAAAACCTCAGCAACCCTCCCCGTGTTGTAGCAACCGTAAAAGTACAGCTTGGTGGATATCCCGTTGGCTGAGATTGCGGGGATTTAACCCCCTCTCCACAACATCCCCTCCTTTGCCTGCATCCCTGCTGTCATGCCACCTGAGGCACCCGTGCTCCCCCCTACCTTGACCCACGCAGTTCCTCGCTGGTCCCTGCTGTATCAGGAACCCACCAGTGCCTACCACGCTCTGTAAAACGCAACACCCTCAGCTCAGCAGCCCCACATCCGGCTCTGAGCGTTCACTGGAAGCGTCATCAGGATCTGCTCAGTTGCCAGGCTCCCTCCAGACTGGGGACAGGTCTGAGTCCTCTGTGCCCCTGCGCCGGGAGCCGTCCAGCGACATGTGATTTGGCTTTGGTGGTTTGTGCGTTTTTTCCTGAGCCAGGGTTTGTTTTTTTTCCCTTCTTTCCTTCCTTGTTGGCAGCATCCCTGCGGGCCATGGGTGCTCAGCAGTGCCCTCTGCACGCCAGAGCCAAGACACAGCCAGTGCCAGCACCCTGCTGCATGCTGTCTGCACCCCATCCCAGCACCCTGCACCCCCCTGCAGGGACCATCAGTGGCCTGGGGACAGAGAGGAGCACGGGGGTCAGGCCAGGGGCAACACAGAGCAGGGCAGATACAGGCCAGGACATCTCTGCAAAACCAACACCAAGTTTTATCCTTGCCAAGACTAGTTACAGGCTGGACACGCAGGGCTGAGACCACAGCTCTGCCCTAGAGACCCCAAGGGACCTGCAAGTGGTTGTGCATCACCCCACGAGCCCCAGGCCTTTGGCAGCCCATTGGGACAGAAAGCAGCCAGAATTGAGCTTCCCAAGAGCTGTTGCAACCATTACAGGACTAATGGAGCCATGGATGGCAGCATGTGGAGCTTGCTGGCACTCTTCAGCACTGCCAGGGGCCGAGCAGTCACCATCAGTAGGGCATTCCAAAACGAGAGGCCCACAGTGTCCGAGTGCCACCCCTGGGGTCGATGCCAGCACCTCCACTACTGTGCCTGCACTGCTCCAACAGCCAGCAGCACTGGGCAGACCCCACACCTCCTGAGTGCCCAGGGGAAGCTGGCAGGGTGACAGCCACCAGGAACAAGGACACATGGCCACAGCAGACTGGACAGGTTCTTTAATACCACGCTCATTGAGAACACATTGTGCTTGCTGTCCACCCCACATCACTGCCCATGTCCACTCCTGGGGCAGAGGCCAGGCAGCTTGGCAGGGCAGGTGGCAGGGGTGATCCCTCCCAGACAGAAGGGGAAGAAACAGGCAGGAGATACTTTATCCAGTGCTACAAATGCTCTCAGAGCAACAGCTCCTTCCGGAGCTGCACACATGGCAGAGCACAGCACCCCCTACCCCACAAAGCACTGCTGGTGAGGCGGGCGTAGGGCTCAGCCCAGCCCCCTCAGCCCCTCTCCCTTTTTGGTCAGAGGGCAGTGGGAATGCTGCAGCAGACCAGGGGGGCTGTGGGGGCTGCCAAGCCTGGGTGCAGCAGGCACAGTCCAGTCTTGTGGGCAGGGTCAGGCCAAGGAGGACCCTCATGTGCCCAGGGGGGGCCCCAAGAGGGGCTGAGTGGCTGCCCCCCAGCAGTCTGGCAGCATCTCCTCTGCCAAGATCACACTCAGTGTCTTAAAAGCAGCAAGGGTTACAGCGCTGGCCATCTCCATGGCCAGGAAAAGGTGGATGCCCACTGCAGGCAGGACGTCCTCAGCCTGCAGCACTGGGGCTCCTGAGGGGCTCAGGGAGGGCAGGTCTCTCCCTGACAGAGGGTGCTGCAGGAATGAAGAATCCAGCAGCAACAGCCCGGCTGCCCCATGGCCGGAGGCAGCGCCAGCTGCTCCCAGGAGGGCGCAGCGGGACGCGAAGGGAACATCAGCACCTGCCACCACCTCGCTGGGCACCACCCTCTCTGTCCCTGCCTCCCAAGGCTAAACTTTCCCTGGTAAAACCCATCCTCCGAAGGCCTTCTCCAGGTACCGGGCCACCGCCAGCGTCAGGTGGTCGTTGTAGGCGGCTGCCACCAGCTGGATGCCCAGGGGGAGCCCCTCGCTGCCCAGCCCCAGCGGGCACTGCGTCACCGGCAGGCCCAGGACGTTGAAGATGGCTGGAAGAGAGAAGGATGGATCAGAGTGAGCACAGTGACCAGGATACACCACTGCCTGGCTCTCCCACCCCAGGCACGTCATGTTACTCCCGGGAGCTGGTGCTTGACACAGTGGTGCTGAGACATGGTGACAAGGGATATCACTGACCAGAGGTCCCCAGTGTCCACATCGTATCTGCAAATAGCACCCAAGAGGGATGGCATGCCAAGATCTGGTTTGGGACACCACCCCTCCATCACTCCAAAGCAGGCAGCACTGACACCAGCACTAGCATCAAGGTGCTCGGGCCACAGGGAAGCCATGCAGGGAGCCCCAGACTGTACCCCAAGATATGCTGGCTCTCAGGTTCCTGCTAAACCACAGCAATAGCTGGAACACCTCTGGGGCACAGTGGCTCCTGAGATCAGACACATCCCTCAGACCTGCCCCGCTGTGGACAGCAGGTAAAAGATGCTACGTGGCACAAAGTGTGACAACCCTTGTTGTGGAGCAGCCAGACCCCTCTGTGCTGCACAGCCCACTGTCAGCAATGGGAACACTTTGAGTTCAACATTCTGGCTGCCAGCCTGGGCAGCCCTACATGCACCCCACAAGAGCCAGAGCTGCTCACCTGTGTAGGCAAAGTTGAAGGGCATGCAGATGGGGGAGTGGTGCTTGGGGGCGATGGTGGGGTGTGAGGGGTAGAGGAGCACCCCGTCCTGCCCCAGCAGCGCCTCCATCTCCTCCTGCAGGCTCTTCCCCATGCTCACCAGCTTGGCATTCCCACTGTGGTTGAGCTTCATCAGCTTCTCCGTCAGCCCCAGGGCTGCAGGGAAAGGGTACAAATAGGGACATAGAGCGAGAAGACTGTGGGCTATGTGGGGCAGAGAGCACATTGCCTGGCCACATGCAGCATCCCCCAGTCCTAGTGCACCCCCCAAGTCCCCCTGCCCACCAGTACCCACAGCAGATTGCCCCTGGCATGACTCTGTGGGCAGCATCCCCCCAGCTCTGCCAAGGGACAAGCTTTCAGCCTGCCCCTCATTTCCAGCTTTTCCAGCTGCTGGGGTTGAGCGCTCATTAGACAACAGCCCAACTGCACTGATTAGGGTTCTCTGGTACTGCTGCTATGAAACCAGATCAATGCAGACCCTGACTGGCTCCCTCTAGACTCCCCAGCAGTTCTGACAGGGCTCACAGCAGCAGTTCATCATCCTCACTTCCTCTCCTAGGATACCCACTTCCCATGCATCAAAGATCCAGCCAACTCTCCCTCGAGCTTGAATGTGACTCAAAGACACTGTCATTACAAAACCAGGCTGAAGCTGCTCAGCACAAACCCCAAGTCCCTTTGCTGGGCACTGGGACTACCTGTACTTAACAACTCATCTCACCCCACCACTGCCTCTGCACTTCCCAGGGCTCCCCTCAGCCTCACCAATAGCTGGGAAGGTGTGAGAAGACATCCCCACGAGCCACTTCATCAGCTCCCACAGCGGCCACACCGGCTTCCCGTGGTCCCCCAGCAGGTCTGTGAATCGCTGTGCCTCCTGTAACACACCCACTCCCCCTGTCAGCACTGCCAGCACGCAGCAGGGAGGCACAGGCTGCAAGGGACAGTGAAATTCCAGCTGTCCCGTTATCCTGATGCGAGCCCTTCCCATTTTCACACAGGAGATGCCCATCAGGAGTGCCCAGAGCTCCAGCACTGATCCAGGGTGGCAGCAGGAGCATCTCTCCCTGCCAGAGACAGGAAGAAGGAGGGAGAGCCTCCCAAAGCAGCACCTTCCAGCACCCAATTGGCATGATGCAAGGGATGATGTCCAGATAATGTCCAGGCATTTACTCCTATGATATGGCCATGGGACCAGGAAGGAGGCAGAGAAGCCAGATGTGCCCTCCTTAGTGCATGGGGCTGTGTTGTTTCCCACCACTCCCCGTGTGCCAGGAACGCACAAGTTACAACACTCCTGAGAGGGTTTTTCTCTATAAAATACCTCCCTGCACGCACAGAGCACAGCACAGTGGCTGCAATTCAAAGGAAAAATAACGCAGGCAGGCCTGCTGCTGGAAAGCTGCTAATGCCCTGCTTGTCCTGGCATCCTAAAAGGTGTTAATCCCAGCCTGCAACATCAGAAGACACAGCACAGAGCCAAGAGTGAGGCAGGATGCTCCCTGCTGGGCTGACTTAACAACCTGCATGAAGGTCAATGTGTCAAAATGACCTTCCCCTCCCTACACCACATTGCTCCTCTGCTGGGAGCCACGGCCTCATCCTGTGGGAGAGCAAGGGAGAAGGGGCTGTGTGTCTTTGAAAAGAGATGAAGGGAGGACTGGGGGGACAAATGGAGCAGGGAAAGCCCCCAGGCAGGTCTGGAAAACCTACAACTCTCCACTGCTGGCCCCAGGCAGCTGATTCTTCCCTGCTGCCACCAAATTTGTGCCTTTGCCAGCTCGGTCTGACGCACCTCTCCATTGCTGTCCTTGGACGACATCATGGCTGACCAGATCTGGAAAGAATACTTCATCTTGTGGATTGACACATGCTGAACTCGGACCCCCAGGTCACTTTCGATGTGCTCCACCACCTGAAGGGACGAGTAGGAAGGGTTTGTTTTCATAAGGTTGTGAGGTGCTGCCATCAGCCCATGGAAAGTACAGAGAAGAGGGCAAGGGCATCTGCTCACAAGATCTTCTCCTTGTTTCTTCTTTAACACAGAAGAAAAAGTTCTTTCTACTTTTGAACCCCTGGAAGCACAGGACTGGAACAGAAAGCTGCCTCCCCAGCCCTCCATCCTGCCAGTCCCCACAGGAGCCACACACAGAGCAGCTCCCTCCCCTCCCCAGGGCTCCTCAGACTGGTGTCCCCAGGTTCTATCCTCAGGCTCACCCCAGTGAGAACCAACCTCTGCTCCTTCCTACCTTCTTTTGGGCCTGCAAGATCTCCTTGTCCACAGGTGACACAAAAACGGACCCGCCGTCATGATCCATGCAGTGGAATTTGATTTTCTCCAGTGACACTTTCTCATTCAGTTTCAGCCTGGGAAAGGGGCTTTGTCACAAACCCATCCCCGGCTCCTCCCCAGCTGCCAGAACTGCTCACACACATGGTAATGTGTCCTCAGGAGACACTGCTCTGCCTCCCAGGGTGGCAAGGCCAGACCCTGAGGACACACAGACACCTGCTGCCCACAATCTACCCAGCTGCTCTCCCGCCCCGTCAATCCCAGCAAGTTCCAGTTGGGAAAATTCTTATCTCTCCAGAAGAACCTTGTGATTACAAACCCTGTCCATGGCCAAGGTTGGGATTGCACAAGAGCCGGGGAAAAACAGAAGTGGTAATGGAGACAACAGCCACTCACAGGCTGTGGCACAAAGGAGGGCTGCCCTGTCTGCCCCATCTCTGCTCTGCTCCTCACTGGCACCTGCCACATAGCAGGCTCTTGGTTACACAAACCTATGCAGGAACCGAACTGGCTGTGGTGTGGGATGGAAAACTCATCACTCAGCAACAGGAAAAAGGCCCTGTAACACCCAGGAGCAAGGCCAGCCCCAGGAGGGGAGGGCCACGTGGGACAGCACTGAGAACCAGCTTGCAAGTAAAGAGGGAACCAACAGTCTGCTCATGGCTGCCTGTTCCCCAGAGCACGTGGGTGGTGGGAAGGACAGTCCCAGCTGCGAAGGTCCCGTTGAAGCCAGCGGCAGAGGAAGGAAACCAGTAACAAACAAACTGGGTGGGGTGCAGACCTGTCTCGTACAAAGGACTGACCCGCTGTGCAGACCAGAGAGCTGCTGACTCCAGCTCAGCAGCCAGGAGCAGTGGGAGAAACTCACTTGCTGACGCCGGGCCCGGCCATGACCCTCAGCACAGGCTCCAGGTCCTCGGCATAGCGGCACATGGGTCCCGTGCACAGGAAGCTGGTCCGCACCCCGTGAGCGTTTGGGAACTGGCCGTCGTTGGGCACCACCCCTGCGAGCAGAGACACCTTGGGTACCACCCTGAGCATCGCCTCCAACCAAGGGCAGCCCTGCTGGGGGGCTTTGGGCACAGGGCGACGTGGTTCCTCAGGGACTGCACACCTCACAAGGGCTGATGGCAAGGTGCATGAGGCAGGGGAGGAAGGGAGGAAAAGCACCCAGCCAGGACACTGAGAGCCAGAAAAACACCCCAACCTTGAGAAAACATCCCACGCTGAGGATGCAATACCTGGGTAAAACCCCTCCCCGTCTCCCACGCTCCTGGCGTTCTGCCACCGAAGGCTTCCCGCTGCCAAGCCCGGCTGTGCTCCCGGGCTTGTCCCATGCAAGGAGTTACCTGACCCCTTACAGCAATCCCACCAGA